CACCACGCGCATGCCTCGCGGCGGATATGCGCAGCAGCAAGAAGGTTTCGGTCATCCCTTGAGGGTGAGTCTAGCCCTGCTCGCCAGAAAGACCCCCCCCTTCACTACAACCCATGTCTAAGCAAAAGCTTGTCGAGGAGCGAGGGGAAGAAGGGAGAGTGTGGGCTAGTTATTTCTTCCGCGCTTGCCTCTAGTAGCGCTCTCCACCCAAGGGTAGACAGACGTTCGCTGTTGGACCCGCGGCATAATCGCCCCGCGATTCGACCTGTTCATTACCCTCATACTCCTCCACTCTACAAAGCATCTATACGAGACTAGAGTCGTCCCCGTGTACCCTGGCACCCCCCTGGTTGAGTAGTTCAAAGGAGGAGGAGGCAATCATGCCATTCTTCGCGAGGTAAGGCAGGTGAAAGCCCACAGCAAACAAACATGTGTCAGTGCGGGTGTCCGGGCGAGACCCAATTTAAAGGACAAGTCTTGAGACCCCACACCCCCGGGGCCATGTTGGCCAGGAGTGGCCTTCAAAGTTTTTGGTCCAGCCCGCTACCATTGCGAGCGCCGATGTTGTCGTACAGGTTTTGGGGGCCGTCCCGTGGATGGAACGGACGCTCGCTGTGATACCTACACTTGTTTTCACAAGTCCCTGTATCAACGCACAGAGAACACCGTACCCAAACATCCACGTGCTTCACTGTCGGCTACTGTGTACCGTTTGTTGGAAATCCTGCTCCTTCACGAGGCCGACTACCAGACACATGATACTCTCACGACAACAGAAGATTGTTCGTAGCGTCGAGAAAATAGCTCTGTGGACCTTGAACATAAATACAGATCACGCATGTAGTTCCCCCCGTTAGCGAGAGACGCACTGTTGCCACAGTCCCTCGTCTACTCGGATCCACACCTTCTAGCTAATACTCCAAGAATGCACCAAGAGCGTATCCATGAACTGCTGCCGATGCGGTAGACAGAACAACACTTGCGGGCCTAGTCTAGTGGATGCCAGCAAGCTGCGCTAAAACCAGCCCAATAGCGTTGCGTTGCTACACTAGACTATGTGCCCGTTCGAAGTGAGACACGTTACTACTGTCCCCGCTGCGTGCCTGATCAAGAGAAATGGCGTTGATGGTGTGACTGCGTGCATGCCTCTCCGATTCCACTGGCAGAACGTGAGCACTTCTGCTGCAGCAGGATCCCTCATAATATTCGTCGGTCAAGTGTCCCACTGCGTGCGTACTGCTCACCGTCGGGCCGACATGGAGTCACTACCTGGAAAAGCGAACAAAAAACTGAGGGAAGCAGGAGATGATTAGGACCAAGGGCAACAGTGGAGGCCGAATGGTTGGCTGGGCTTCGCCGTAGTTGAAAGGCAACACCTTGACGGCAACGAGAAACCAGGCAGCAGCGCAAGAAGCACAGAATGAATGCATGGGTTCATGATGAAGGCGGCGTTACAATTTCGTATATTTAGGGGAAGACAGCGTGTGGTTTATGTCGCGCCCCCGAAACTAACGCGTCAAAAAATGTGTCGGAACGTGGAAAATATACTAAGGTCGGGCTGCTCATGCACTGTCCATCGATTATTCACGTTCAACGAGCCACTACGCTTTTTTCGCGGCCCATCGCTCACAACTCGGCACGTTTTAGCGAGCAGGTCGTTTGTGTCACACCCGTCGGTATCCTAAAGAAACGCAGACTGGGCATCCCTCCCCGTCCGCGCATTGCGGGCAACCACCGATGGTAGGCTTCGGTCTGTACGGGAGGGAAGGCCGTGAGTGGGACGGCCAACACACACCTCGTGAGGAGGCGTGTTGCTGATGTCAACCAGGGTAATACGCATGCCTCCAATTCCTCTCTGCCAACTTTCAACTGTTAGGTTTTGGTCCTCATCCGATTCGATGTTGCTATTCGTTGCCGACGATACAAACGCCAACGCCAACACCAACAACGTCGGAGAACAACAAAATCGCGTCGCGTTGCATTGTTTTTATGCCTGTGATGAATACCATGACCGAAATGGGACATAATGACCGAGACATGTTGTTAACAAAAGAACAACCGGGGTTCGAATCCTTCGTCGACCACTTGTGACACCTCTTTTCCGGGCAAGTCTGGGATAGTCTACGCCTGAAAGACGGTATACATCCCAGTCGTCCAAGTGAAGACACATATTCCCGCCTGAAGGTCGATGAACCGCATGGATAGGGCAGCGCAGATTACAGGGATTACAACCCTGGGGTTTAACCGCATGGGGCAGCGCTGATTACAGGGATTACAACCCTGGGGTCTACCGAGGTCCAACAGCTCTAACAGGCTGAAGGACCCCGGTTGTACTTTAGTCAAGATGTAAACTATCTATTAATAGTCTACGTACGTTACATTCCAACCGACATTCGAACCGACACATAGATCTACGATTTACAAGAAGAGCAGTGCTACTGAACATTGACTAACACTGGCTATCTGCTTTTATTTCCATACCGAGGTCCAACAGCTCTAACAGGCTGAAGGACCCCGGTTGTACTTTTGTTAAGATGCAGAGCTTAAAGTGGTATTTGTCAAGGACCCGCCCACAGGTATCTTGATTGATTTTTCTTTGGAGCCAGGGTATTTACCCAATAAAATACACACCACCAATCGAAAGCTACGGACGAGGGCTTTCAAATGAATATACTTTTAGCTTTCACAGACATCTTGGTGACGAGTTACGTTCAATATACCGTTTCGCCGAAAACACGGCGAAACTAGTAAATCTCGATTTCCCGGGCCCCCACCACCTCCGTGAAAAAAATAAAATGTTACCCACAGGGGAGGTATCGTTGTATGCTGTCTGGGAAACCGTAGACATACAGGTAGCCTTTCGCTCACGCTATGGATTCATTGGTAATCTATCTTAGACTTATTTCTATAGATGGAGATGGATTTGTTGTGTGATATTAAGAAAAAAAAAAATATACTTCATATTTTTGGAATCCTCCCCAAAAGTTGGTTCTAGATCACCTGGTTACCCGGTTTTGCAGGGCTCCAGGTCGAAATTAATACTTAAAAAAATATGCGGCCCGACCGTTGGTTTGGGCAGCAGCTGACACCGCACATGGGAGGTGTACACATGTTGTTGTGAAGACCGGCAACCGAATGGAGCTCGAGCAAGAGATGATCTCCGCCCTACAGCAGTCAGTTCCTGACGGATTCAAGCTGCGCAACACACTACTCCGCATCGATAGACAGAAGCCACGAAAGTACCGTGTAGTAGTGCTGAGGTCGGGCGACGGCACTGAGTTGAACTGGCGGAGCGGCTGGATCACGTCTGGAATATTCGATACAGGCTGACTATTTAACTACA